ATTAACATAAATAATCATAGGATCAAATAAAACAATTTAACAGCCCTTGTATAACAAATACTGGCTTTTATTTATGTCATTGCTGAAATTATTTGGGAAATACCTAAAGCAGCCAGAAAATAAGGATATAGTAAAGCAATATGTGGGTAATAAGCCTGGAATTTCAGATTAGAGTCCTGTAGTCTCTAGGTTGAAGACAGACATTTACATGTAGTTCAGACAAAAGGGAGGACCACTTTTGCCGTAGTTACAGCATGAACAGAAGAGGAGAAGTTGTAGGAAGAATGGGAGAGCAGACAGAAACTCACAGGTGGTTGACTGGGGAAAGAATACCACTTTTCAGAAGTGAAATCAGTTACTGTGAACGTACTGAATGCAGCTGATTAGCCCAAATGAATTCTTTTTTTTCTGTCATACAAAGTATAGACCTATCTGAAAATCAGTGAATTCCAAGAACAGAGTAGGTGAAGTGAGGGTTGTTATTTTGGGAATAATATAATGCTTAGAATTACAGTTTTTTGAATAGTGATGAATTCACTTTGTTTCAGTCTGCACTTGCTATTAAATGATGTCCAGCTGTAGTTTTTCTTGAAATAAAAAGGCAGAAATCACTATTAGATCAACTGGTGTAAAGGTCCTGGATCACTAAATTTCCATTATGTTTCTATATCAAGTAACTTGTGTTTGCCTGCTGTTTAACGCCTGGTAACTTCTTTCAACTTCATAGGATGGCATTAAGAGCAGAGAGCATCTACTACCTATTCTCTTAATGTTTATCATTGGTGGTGGTAACATCAATGTACAAAAAAGCAAATTATTCCTTCCTTTTATTTTGAATTTCAGTGCTCATTTATTAACAATTGGTTCTTGCACTTTCTTCACATACGTAGGAGCTCTTTGCTTGCCCACTATTTTTCTGCTTTTTAGTAAATCATCAGGTGATCTTTTCTGATAAGCTAAACAGTTTAGGATCTTGCTTTTTTAAAACACACATATATATATATATATTTTCTTTCATTTAAGGAAAGACCAAGAAGTGCGGTGGAGCAGCTGTGTCTTGCAGAAAGCACACGGCCTCGAATGACTGTGGAGGAACAGATGGAAAGAATAAAGAGACACCAACAAGCTTGCCTGAGAGAGAAGAGAAAAGGACTCAGTATTCTTGGCGTTTCAGACCAGTCTCCTTCACAGAGTCTGTCGTTTGTCAGAGAGAATCCATTCAAATTGGCACAGGTGGGCCCTACGTTATTCAGAAACTTTAATGTATTCAATTAAAAAAAAAAAAAGTTACAAAATTGTTCTTTTTCCAAAATCACATCATACTAGAGGTGTCTATTTGAGACTGCTTGTGTAAAGTAACAGTCAGAATTCTCTGCTATACACAAGAGAAAGGGAGAAGGCAATCTTCGTGCTTGTACCTAATGATAGTAGAAGTCACTTCTTTGTCTTTTGGGAGAATAAATAGTTCAAATCTTAGATACATTTGATTATGCAGTGTGATGTTTATTAACAGGGCTTTGTGTCAAATTTAGCAAACATGAAATTGCAAGCTTTGTGACTAAAAGCAGTGCTGGGGAGAATTGTGATTCAGTTGATGTATAAATTATGAAGATCTTTCTGCCATGTAATATATTCAAACATCTGTAACATTTTTAGGTAGGAATGTAGATTTCCAATGATAGCTCTTAACTGATGCTCTTTTGCTGGTTTTTTTGAGCCCAGAAATGCATAAAAATAGAACCCACACTTTTGTTTTCACTCATTCTCAAACAGTTAAGGCAAAGCAGTGTGTTTATTAAATGGTGAAGGGTGGGGAGAGAGGAGGAAGATAGAACTGATTGTCGTTAATCAGGAAATGCTATCCTGAATACATATCGGAGGGAGGGAATGAAAAACAACAAACCCAAAACCCAACTACCAAACAAAAAACCCCACACCACTTCAGGACACAAAGAGCAAATAGGTTCAGGGTAGTGGATGTCAGACAGCACACTACTTTATAACTGCAAAGAGTTAGTTTTCTTTTTCAATGGCTTCATGGAGTTATCCATTTTTTCTTTTTAAATGAAATAAACTTCTGGCATACTTTTTTCCTCAGACCACACTGATTATGATTTTTTTTTTTTTTTTTTGCACCACTGACATGGGAATGCCTTCTGTTATGTTTTGTACGCATTTTTCCAAAACCAGATTAAATGCATTGCACTGTTAAGAAGTCTCATATTTCCAAATATGTTTTAGGTTTGTGATGGTTTTTTTCCCTCTGAGCATGCTAAACTGCGTTCAGAGCTACAGAAAATCTACTTTTCCTTCAGCAGCGTTGGATCCCCGGAAGACACTGAGTTCAAGTTTTGCCTTTGCACTAGAGCATCTGTATTTGGGATGGCATCATGAGTGCTGTATATGAAGGAGGCTCCTACAAATATTTTTGTGATTAGCACTGCCTTTCTCAAGAGGCGACGTGCAAAGCAAAGCTTTGCAGATGTTTCTTTTTGTCATTTTTACAGAGGTGTTTGAGCTTTACCACTTCCCTGTGGTATCATTTCATACCTCAAGGTGAGGAAACTGCAGTCATGTGCGTGTCAGAGCTGGTTCGCCAGCACCCTGGGAGCAGGGTGTGAGCAGCGGCCAAATCCTCTGCACCAGCACTACTTGTCCTACAGAACTCAAAATAATTTTGTGCATGTCAGCGTGTTCTTCAGTCTCCTGTGTGAAATCAGTGCTACGTGGATAAGAAATTTGTAGAATAAGTGAGAACGTGTCCAAGTTGAATATTCAGCTAGTAGTCCGTGCTACAACATCACTTTTTCTATTACAACTTTAATTCTTCCAGAATGCTATTTGGCAAAAAGCCCCAAGATGAGGTATTACACTGGAGTAAGAGCTCTTACTTTTAAAAGCATAGCTTCTATGCCTCTTGATTTTTATACAGAAAAATAGTGCAATGGCATTAACTGCTGGAAGTCTCTTCAACTGGGATGTAGTTATTTAAGACTTGGAGGCAAAAAAGGATTTTATAAACAGCCTACTGTGTGATTTTTAAGTGGTTGCCAAAATACAAAAGGAAGTTGCTTCACAATTACTGTTTGGGACAAGTGTATCATATGGGAGCATACTTTAGTTAGGAAAGTCAAGAGATTGATTTGTGAACTGACTTACATGGAATTTCCTCTTAACAGAGTGCATGTGCTAAATCACAGGAATTCAGCCGCAAGATTTACTACTTTCATGACTTCTGTTTTTCTCAGCCCTAGTACTTGGTTTGATAAGACTTACACGACCCTCACTTCAGTTTGGTTTGCTACTCTGCCCACATAATGCTCGCAGTTCACTATCTTAAGTCACCTCTACCATCCTTCCTCAAAATTTTTACATCAAATTATTCTCTGTGCAATGGATTTTTTTTTTTTAAGGAATAAATACCCTCTGCCATTATCAGATGCTGTGTTGTCCTCTGCTGAATCAGTTAACAGCATAGGCTTGGAACATACCCAGGATAACTGGAGAAGGTGCACACAGGTGCACTGTGAATTTTGTACTGAGAGCAGATTTTTATCCATCTTTTTTTTTAACAAGGAAAAATTTTAAAAAATCAGTGCTTACGAATGCAAAAAAGTATGCTGCTAAGCCTGTGTGTAACTGAGCTAGATATGGATGAAATTTCAGAAGGTGACTAATAGAAATTCTGGAGATTGGGAGTGAGGTGCAGAAAGTACAATAATCTTATAGAGAAAAAAATGTTATACAGGCTGAACTGTTTTGAAAGGTACAAAAATGAGAAAATTTGGAAGTCCTTAATAATTTTCATTTTCGGTATTGCAATGTGGTATACTTAGGGGTTTTTTAAGTATTTTTTTTAATCAGAGGACAGCGCAAGGCTGTTCTGAGACGATGATAACTCTTGTAAGAATGTGTCTATATATCAATTTTGTTGCACAGAATCGAAAAAAGGATGATACTGTATCTACTAACATGAAGGAACTGGAGACCACCAGCAAAGAAAATAATTTGAAACAAAATCATGAAAGCCCTGGAGGAGAAATGGCACAACTGAAACATGATGGAGAACAAGAACTTAATTCAAGTTTTACTAAAGAGGTACTAAACTGTCCCGTATTGAACTGTTCATCAGCCTGTCTCGCAGCAGAAAAATATTTTGAGCCACAGATAGCAGAGTGTGGGAAATTGAGCTAGTTCCCCTTGCTTGGAAGATAAAGATACCTTGTGGGATGTAACAAGTATTCTACAGAGAAGCGCAAAATTGTATCAGAACTGTCTATAGCCAAGCTACTGAATTTTCTTGTATATGGTCTTCCTAAATTTCATTTTAAATAACTTCATCTGTTACTGTCTTGATTGATTGGAAAATTACAAAATTATGATCTTTACTTCTTTGGAAACAAAACTGATACTAATGCATCTATAAATAATAATCGTTGATCTGTTCATTGCTTATGATATCCCAGTGTAGTTTTTGACAGTCATTTAATACATTTTTTTGTTTGGTTGGCTGTAGTGCATCGAATAGTTTATAGGAAACAGACTAAAACTGACACAATTTATACATGGAAGTCAGTAGTAACTCTAGCTTGTGCTGTTTGGTCACTCGATTGATTTCTGTCTTGAAATAGTCTCAGACTCACTTGGCAGTGAGTTACCTTGCTGTTTCTGGTATTTAAGTCCCCTGAACACTCAGCAAAACCAGACTGACTGTGAAGAATAGATTACTGGAGCTGTTTCTACGTCATCATATCCTGCCTACGGTGTAATAATTTTTTTAAATCTTATGTAGAGGGTTTTTTTCTTCTTTCCTATCCATATCCTTTAATTAATCATCCTTTGCTTTTCCTCACTCACTTTTCATTTTCCTATTTTATATTTAGCTTTTTTAAACATATGTCTGATGGAGAATGTTATAAAATCAAATAATTGACATCTGTTGTTATTCTTGAAAAACACTTTATGTCAAGAGTCTGTTGTTTTGTTAAGTATGCAAATCTTTTAAAGGAAAATTATGTAATACACATTGATCATATCTAATTGGACCTTTCAGAGCAGTGTTCAGGCTTATCAGCAATATATTCCAGTAGCTGGAATCTCTGTTGGTATTGTGAAGAGAGGGATAGCATGAAAAAATAGGCAGGTTGCCTTCCAAAGAGTTCAGGTAAGTTCTGGAAGTTATTAAGCCAAGCCCTGCCCATTGGCTCTGGTATAAGTTTCAGGATAATTCTGTTAACCTGAATGGTATTGATAAAAATTCTCAAGTTATGTAATGCTGAGTTACTAAGTATACATGATGGCAAAATTTGTCTGTTAATAAAACTGTTTCCTGATACTGTATTTCTTATCTGCCACTTAGTATGTGTTACAGCTTTTTGTTTCATGATTTCAATTTTTTTTTACAGCTGACAAAAACCGATCTTTTATCAGATGCACATGTTGTATCTGACTCAAAAAAAGTGAGTAATGAAGAAAAGAAAAATAAATTGGAAGAAACACATGATGGTGATATAAGGTAAAAATAAAACAAGATGTTCAGAGGCTATTTTAAACTTGCACATTGTATTTATTAGCTGAACAGACCAAGCAACTAATGAAATACTGTCATAAATACTTATAAGGTATATTTATATGTTTTTGAGTGGTTTACATATAGAGAAATCTAGTGAGAAACCCAACTACTGCAGGGGTTCAGTAAGAGGTGATGAGTTAGTGGGTGAAGCAAGGTTTTTGTTTTCAAGTATTGCCCCAGTTACAAACAGAATATGTTCATAATCCTTGCTTTGGCATATGAAATGTATTTAGTAATGTCAGTTCAAGCTTTATATCGGTTTATTATGAAAGCTTCAGGTAGGGGTTCCGTAGCAAGCTCTTTACTCCTGATATTTAGGAGTACACTAAACAGCTTATTCTGTATCTCCTGCTTTAACTTACTTCACTGTTTTGGAGAACTGCAGAATTAGAGGCATATTGTATCTTGGTTGTTCCTCTTTAAGGATTCCTAACTTTAGTGTAAGTTGTACTGCAGATCCTAAGTGAGCTCTTACAGTAGGTCATAACTTTCTGACAGCACCCTTCAGCAAAATAGATGTCACGCAGTTGGAAACTGCATGAATATGTAAAGGAAAGGAATTCAGTTTCCAGTACTGTTCTGTTGGTTTGGGGTTTTTTTTAAGTCTAACTTTACAAGGTAGAAGGGTTTCAAAATACAAGCTTAATTTATATTACACAAACTTGCAAGCTGCAACTTTTTCTGTTAACAGAATAAAACTAAATTGTAGCTCCTATACTTAGTGGTTAACACCTGAAATTAAGTTTGAGTGAGTTCTAAACGCTGTGCTTTTTTTAACCAGCTTGCAGAGTGTGACCACAGTTGCAAACCACAAACCCAAAACCATCTCAGAAGAAAGTGAAGTAGTTAGTGTTGAAGAACAAGAAGGGATTATGTCCACATTTGAATTAGCAGCAGAGTCTTCAAAAGGAAATCAAGCAACAGCAGGTATGGAAAAGAGTTTGAAGCACAGCTTAAACAGTACATGTGTAAAACTATTTCATTTTGATTATGTCTTTTGATGCTCTGAAACCCTTGTGAATTGGAAGTGCTGAGCTAGTCTAGAGGTCAAGTGTATGGTTTTATAGTGTAGAGAAAAATAGTTTGCCATCAGACAACTACAGAAATTCCATTTTTCTGAGGTTTTAATGTAAATTTTATGGTTGCATTTAATTTAGGGAATTAAATATATTGAGTCATACTATAGTTGTTGGTTGGAGCAAATCCTTCCCTATTCATCTTGTAGAACAGCATCTCAGCGCTGGCTATGTATAGATTATTTACCCGTAACGTCCTTGCTAAAGGATGGCCTCAGGCATGCCCAAGATTGAGGAATCCTTGAGAGTTACCTATATATCTAGTAGATTTTGAACTAGCAAGTAAAAGACCCCGACTTGGTCATATTTTCAGGAGTAAGAAAAGATGAAGAAACAGAAGACACCAGCTGACTGGTAAAACAACTGGTGTAGTACTACTTTGCAGGAGGAGAAGACTGGAATAAAGCAAAATTCTTTTCAAAGAGGAAAAAAAAGAGGAAAGTGTGTAGGGGAGGAGGAAGGAAGAAGATAGATAGAATTTAAGGCATTATTAGGATATTTGGTGATGGGAACGGTTAAGTCAGCCAAATGGTTCAATTCATGGATATAAAAGGTGACCTGGACCTTTGTAGTGCAGTTGGCAATCCTGTCTGTGACTTGATAATCAAAACCAGAACTTGTAAATACATTTTATATTCTGCTCAGCAGAATAAAAAATGCTTAGTTAATCTGAGCTGGGATATAAAGGTGGGTCTGGGAGTATCCCGACCAGTTAAATCTTACTTTTATTTTTTTTTTCCTCTCTCTTTGCAACATAAATAACACATCAGCATTCGTATGTCCGTTGTTTGCTCTTTTGGTGTTCTACTAGTCTTTTATAGGCCTGAGGAATGATTTTTCTTGAGAACAGCTGTCCTCTCCCCTGCAGTTGTGCTTATTGTGCTGATCAGATTTTGAGTCATTACTTATGTAACTTTTATTTGGTTCTGCTTATATTTATTCCGGCTTGGAATCATGCCTTCTGTAACCTGTATTCTTATTTATCTTGCTGTATGACTTGCAGTGAAAAGTTTGCCTTCTTCACCAGAATCGTCATTGTCACCAGCTCCATCTACACAGACACAGCTCACAGAAGGATCACATTTCATGTGTGTATAGTTACAGAGAAGTACGTCTCTTTTTATTCCCCCCCCGCTGCCATTTTCCTAATATTTTTCTAAGTATATGTATTCTAGTTATTTTTCCGAGAAACATCTGTAGACAGTACTTGGCAAGACAAAGTTAGCTGCAGTGTTGAATATAAACTAACCAGAAAACAAAACAAATACATGTATTGATTTGCTTGCAAATAATGTATTCTCTGTCCAAGTACAAAGAGAAAGGACTAATTGGCTTATCAAGCACATTCTCCACAGCCTGCGAGATAATAGCCCTTTGAATTACGTGAGAGACCTTAGCTGTTACAGAACAGACACCCAGTTAAGGCAGGAGCATCAGTGCTCAGGTGCAAATGAATTGTGATGCTTCAGTCATGGTAATAGGCAAGGAGAGCTAGGTCTCTTAGTGATGCACAGGAGGGAGCGGTCTGATAGCTCAGAGAGCTTAAGACATGGATGACTGAGGCATGACAAACAGCAAGGGAAGAAATGAGGGTGGAAGAAATGCAGCAGTTATAAAACTTCTTTCTTTCTATAGAGATAGACCTACACAGCTTCACTTCTCTTGTAGTAGGTGATTTCTTCTAGGAAACAAGTCAGAAGGCATAAGTTAGGCTAGGTTTGCATGTTCCCACCTGTAGCGTTACCTACTTAATGAATGGAAATGGAAATACAAGTATGTGCTCATGCAAGCGTTTAAAGAAATTAATAGGATACCAATGTGAATGCTGCAGCACTCTACCAGCATTTAAATCAATCCACATTTCCTTGTTGTCAGGAAGTACTTGTTTATATAAGCTTTGTACTAAAAGAATGAGCTTTGTTTCAAAGGTAATGTTAAAAGCCATGGCTAATGTAACTTAAGAAAACTTTATAATCAAGAAAACATTAAAATCGAGACATTTTCACTCATTTAGCACGAGGAGACCTGAAAATACATTTTTTCGTTTGCTGTCCCAATCGCCATTGCCAAACTTTCGTCTTAGTAAAATTAGATTTACTGTTCTTCACAGACATCTTTCTTGTATGAACTATGGGTAGTAATATAGTTATATTCTTAAAAAAAAAAAAGAGACATTATTTTCATCTTTTTCTCTTTTGAGAGAGTGGAAAATACAGTCTTCGCATTCAGTACTGACACCTGTGTTGTTGGCTTCCTGATGGATGTGGTCTGTCATGATTAGCTTGGACTTTTGTACTTTTATTCGACAGTTTTATTACAGAACTGTTTGAAAAAGAGAAGGGGGACTAGTCAGTTTTTCTGGTAACACTGATTTGTGTTAATGCTTTTCAGTTTCACTGTACAAATACACATGCATTTATCATGCATCATCTTTTTAAGTGGGACAAACATTACCCAGTCACCTCAGTTTCAGGTCAGTAGTGAAACTGAAACTGCTCTGCTGAATGCTGTCCATCGCTGCAGCACGCCTGTCTTGAAAGGCGACGCAACCTGTAACTTCACCAGAAATTTGTTACCAATTGCATTAAGACGCTTTTAGCTCTTGTCATCAGCTCTAATGATCAGATCAGCAAATTCCTTGCATAGAATGGTTTGGGTTGGAAGGGACCTTAAAGATGATCTGGTTCCAACCTCCCTGCCATGAGCAGGGGCATCTTCCACTAGACCAGGTTGCTCAGAGCTCCATCCAGCCTGGCCTTGAACCCTGCCAGGGAGGGGGCATCCACAGCTTCTCTGGGCAACCTGTGCCAGTGCCTCACCACCCTCATGGTGAAGAATTTCTTCCTAATACCTAATCGAAATCTGCCCTCTTTTAGTTCAGAGGTGTTTCCCCTTGTCCTATCACTACACACCCTTGTGAAAAGTCCCTCTCCATCCTCCCTGTAGGCCCCTTCAGGTACTGGAAGGCTGCTCTAAGGTCACCCCGGAGCCTTCTCTTCTCCAGGCTGAACAGCCCTGACTCCCTCAGCCTTTCCTCATAGGAGAGGTACTCCAGCCCTCTGAGCATCTTCGTCCTCTGGACCCATGAGACTAGCAAAAGTGAAGCGCTCCTACAGTGATCTGCTTTGTAACTTACAGCCCAAGCCTTGACATCCCGCAGCGCGGTGTATCCTCGTAGGTAACCCTGTAGCCGTAACATTCCCATATTAAGTATGATTCTACAAATAGGCCCTAATTGCTTATGGCGAAATGGTGCATCTGGGATGGCCCTGGTGAAAATAATGCTCTGCTTACACATGCCTTGCTATAACAAAGCAAGGATTCCAGAGTTCAAGATACATCCCTTGGGCTGTTCACTATTTGAATTGAGTTGGGAAAAGCGTTCAGCTATGTGCATATACAGTCCACGTTTCTTTGCTGCACTTGGTGCCTCGGTTGGTTGTTTCCTGGGAGCCGCAAAACAGAGCGGGGCCATGCGCTGGGCCTAGCGTGGGTAGGGGATGCACGAAGCACAGTCGCCTTGCCGGCGGGACGTGCTGCCCCTCAGCTGCTGGGGCCGCTGCTCCCGTCCTCCCAAGCTTTGCGCTCTGCTGGAAGCTGGGTCTGCGAGGTGCGAGAGCTCAGTGTCGCTCAGATGCAAGAAATCCTGCACGGCGGAGGGAACTCCAGAGCTGTGGGATCGGCCCCATTCACAGGCAACCCAATTTTTCAGGCAGCATCTGGAAAAAATGTATGGTAGATTTTAAAGAATAATGAGGTCATACCTGTATTGGGCTTTTACAGTCAATTAGTAAAATGATACTCTTGGCACAATGTCAGGGGAATTTGGCATAGGAAATTGGTGGCACAGGATATTGTAGGTCTAAGGAAAAACCCATTAACACAGAGGTACTTTCTTTGTCACGGCTCATGCTTTGCAGAGCCAGCTCTGGATGCGTACCGCTAACATTGTTCCGTTTGAAGCATTACATTTACACTGCGTAATGGAGGGGTAGTGACATTTTATACAGCACCTGGATTCAAAGCTCAGAAGCGTTTTTCCTAACAAACTGTTAAAAGCTATTTATAGAAGTGCTTTCAGCAATTACCAAAATCCAGCAAGCTCTGGGTGGAGCACTTGAACTTCAGAACACCTTACAGCTACGCTGCCGTTGCTGTGTAGTAACCGGATAATGCTCCATCCCTCTTCAAACCATGCCTGTCGCTTGTAAGAGCAATTAGGGTCTTTGCTCTTCTTACCAATTTTATGCGAAGAACATTTAGAGAAGGCTGTGTACAACAGGATAAAACCCTCAGAATAAACAGGCTTTCGTACAAAGCTGTGTAAATTTGAAAAAAGCTTGCTTGTGCTTCTTGCTGTCAGAGTATCTTGACAGCAGTATTATTCATCAGGAAAACTGATTCTGGAAACAACGTATTTCTAAAATACTTTTACTATGTTCAGCACCATTGAGAACTACTGCGAGGATGAGGTCAGAAATTCCTTGCTGTGTTTAATCCCAGGAGTTGCTTTATACAATATTCTGTTGTTGCTAAAATAGAGTAACTTAATCTATGTCTGTCTTTCAGCACTAACGGCTTCTGTTGAAACAATCACGCCTGAGATGTATGGACCTGACCTATGAAAATATGAGAAGATATTGTACAGTATATTTTAAATCTATGAAATTCATAGTTCTGATGCTTTTGGCCACAGAGCATCATTTTATCACTTCCTGGAAAATGTTTATTCCAAGAGAGCTTTAAATGGCCCACGTGTACACTCAACAACCTTCAGATTGTTCTCCTGATACCAGCTTGCTGCTATGATTTCTGTGCACATAAAATAAAGGTTCTTTTTAATGTGCAGCCTACAGTCAGAACTTCATTTGATATTCTCTAGAATTCAACGTTCTTTTAATTATGGATCGTATAAGTTTACCTTTTTGCTTCTTCTAGATGCATAACTCGGTTAATTTTACATATCACCACTAAACCTTGTTTTACACTTTTAAAACATTGCAATTTCTTGTTTTAACATTTTATTTGTAAAATTTTTATATATATATACATATAGATATATTTAAAATGTGCCATTTTTATTATTGCTTAGTAAAATATGTCCTGTTTCTGCTGTAATTATTTCTTGGTCAGGTTGCAATGTCAGCAGTTACTGCCACACTTCTGTCAACATAGACATTAATGTTAGTGGTTACTTTTTCTTAAATAAAATGGAGTGTAGGTATTTTGAGGTACTGGGCTTTTCCTTTGTTGGGTTAGGGTGTGTACAGCAATAAGCAGGTTTTCAATCCAGTACTTAGTTTGTGTACAAATGTAATTATGTTCATTGTGTATATATTATACAATGAGCACATATGATGTAAGTATAAGAAGCCACTTATTATTGTTCAAATAATGTTCATATCCCATTTCTTTTATATCATATTAAATAAATGTTGATGTTCTTAAGGACTTGTATGGTTAGTATTTCTTCCAGCAAAGAGATGTCACACTGTGTTCCACCTTTTGATGTGGGGAATGCAACAACTCTTATCTCATTGGTGACATCACCTGTCAACCAGAGTAGCAGTGACAGACTCTTAAAGAGATTCCAGTCTTCCTCTGCGGGAAAGAATGAGGCTGCAACGCAGAACAAAAGACAACCTGAGACGGAGACGCGAGAAGTACAGGTTCGGCTCCTGACTCTCCCAGACTTGTACCGTGATGTTGGAATAATTAATCACTTAGTCATTCTATGCCTCCATTCCCTGCCTGTTTACTGGAGAGGTGGTAGCCTGACTGAGTGGGGTGTGGTGAGCGGTCATTCAGAATTTGCGAATGGTGAATGTCACGTTCAGTGGGGTTAAGGAGAGAAGGATGATGATTTCCTGGAGGCTTTGACATCTGCAAAGCATCTTCCAGAAACTGAAAGAAAACCTGAAGTAATTTGTCAAGTGTCATCGTAGTACAGATGTTACTAGCTTCACTTTGCCATCTCACACAGCTGTCTGAATTTGCCTGAGACAAAAGAGGTTTAGAAAAGAATGATAAAAAATGGAAAGATTTAAGGGAGAGCTTTTGAATCTGGGATGTAAAGCTAAGAAATCGTTCAAAGGTTCAGGCAACCGATGTGTGCTTCGGTGCATGTGTGCGCCATAAGTGGTAAGGCAAGTTTCATAAGATGACGACTCCCAGCTCCAGTTGTGCTTTTTTTACCATACAAATCGTATCCTGTTCAAGTTAATATTGCTGTGCTGGAGACTCTGTAATTCGTTGTACTTTCCATAGAAGAGTGCCTGAGATTGACACACAGTTTGAAATTAACTCTTTATCATTGCCCCCTGAAGTAGGAGTTTGTGTTCGTTGTACTCTTCTGCCACTCCCAGCTCTGCTGCCAGTTCTTCTTGGGGCTCTTTGCCACAAAGACATGGAGTACGCTGTCTGCCTGCCTATCGTTTTGCCATTTTCTTTGAAAAGTGAAGAAATAAGAAGCGGAATTCAGCAGCAGAGCTTGGAGGGTCATAGTGAAAGAGGTGGCTGAAGGAAAGAAGATGAATCATGATGCAGGCAGACAGCATCCAGCTAAAAGTGTGACCGAATAGCCTTTCTTCTTTTTTTCGGAACAGTAGTCCCAGATTAGTGCATCCTTCCAACCAAAACCTAGAGCAAAGAGGAGGAATGTTAGTTTTCATTGCTCAGCCAGCTGAGGTTGAAGTTCAGTGGCACCACTGGAACACCTGGGGCAAAACAAATAGGACACACCCTGTTCTCTCCTGAACCCTCCTAGAGCGAGCTGATCAGCTCTCAAGCTTTGCAGTCTCTTTATGCCCTTGCTGCCAAGAAGAGCTGCAACCAAAAGAGGAAAGAATGACTAAGTGGTTTCTGGACCTTTATAGATGTTGTTGTCGGTTTGGCGTGCCTGCAAAGTATGTGCAGTTTATGCTGAAGCTGAGGGTGGGTGGGAGAATTAGCAAGTTTTTGCTGGTGTAACTGTTGGCAAAGACAGCAGACGTAAATGATGCAGGAATGTAGTAATTAATGCTCATAGACTGTAATTTCCCTTCCTGTGGGCACTTGCAACAAAGACTTGCAGTTTCATTGGGTGCTCTATTTTTTTGTCTTACGGAAAAAATGTCTGGCTTTGTGTTATCACAGAGCATCTACTGTCTCTTACCTCATCAGAGTCACTCGTCCCAGCGGTCATACTCCTGAGATACAGAAATATCAGAATACCGATATTGTCAGCCTTCAAACGTCTATTTTAAGTTTGTATCTAGGATATTTTTATATTCTGACTGATTGCTTTATTGGCTATTGCACTGACACTTGTATATATGGAACATGTGCTTTTTTTTTCAAAAGCAAGAGTCCTTAGGAATAATGCAACACATTCTCTACAGATGTTCATGCTTTTCAGAACCAATTACATCTATTTTTGTCTTTTGTTCACCATTTGCATTGTTCCAAGACTACTAGAGAATGTGATTCTTTTAAGTCCCCTAATAAAGTGACATTATTCAAAACGTTATGGTTGGTGTCTTGGCAGTTTTTGTGTCTCGTGGACTGGCTCAAAAAGAAAGACCTCATCAGGCAGCTGAAACCCAAACCTTGTTTATATTATTACTGGGGGTGAATTCAGGTAATATTTTCTCATAAATATATCTGTCACAAAATGAATCCAATAAAGGAAAGAATGACTAAATAAAGGAAAGAATGCTTCTATTTTCAGGAAATACAAAAAAAAAAATTTAAGCAGTTCATTTCTATCTAAATCACTTAATTCTTTCCCGGACTGTCCAATTAATTCCTCACCCTACTGGATCCACTAGATGTAGTAACCAGGAGTACGTACCTGAAAAATGTTTATGGATTACACTGTTAGTAATAGAGCTACTGAAGTCACTAGTACTTGGACTGGTGGCTTATGTTATGTCCTGGTTGAGTAAAGCAGCGGTGGGAGATCTTTAACCGGTGGTGGTGCTGGATAACTCTTACCCCAAAATTTTCGTTATACTGTAAAAAGAAGATGGGGATTTCTTTCTTTTCTAATAAAGCAAACCATAAATAGTACTCATTCAGATCTCAGAAGTGGGTCATCACGTCTTTTCTGCACAATACTTTTTGTCCCTGTGATTCTGGATTTTGCTATACTGATTTTCGTAAGTTATTCTAGGGTAGTTTCATCATCTTTGAGTTTGAATCCTCAGTTAAAATGTTATTTTCCATCTTTTGGAAAGTTGACATTTAAATGGCCAGTGAACAAATTGCCTATACCTGGCATTAATAATGTATCTGAAACAATTTAACTTTTTCAAGGATGCACGTGAAGATAACAAAGCAGCATCTGGCGTTCATTTCTTCTAAAGAACATTGTATATATTTGCTGTTATATCCTTGGAGCTGTTATATCCTTTAGCTTGTCCATATGGGAACACTGAAGAAGCTGCTACAAAATAAAATGGAATATACTGGTGGCTGAAAGCAAATGTCTGGCCCAAAATGAAGGCTAAAAGCAGCTGCTTTCTGAACTTGACATGCACAACTTGTTACCCAGCTGTTCCAGATGTGTCAGTATTCAAATGTTACTTGTGGAATGAAGTTTTTGGTATGTTCTTGTGAAGTTTCTTCATTCTGTCATATGCCAAAGGACATGGTTTTCAGGTCTGTCGAAATATTATCTAGCTGTTGTTGTGAAACTGCAAGCAACTCTTTAATTGTAGCCATGGGTAAGTAGCATCACCACCGTGGTTGCTAATTGGCTCATGTGGCAGTCTTGCTATGGATGTGTTTAAAAACACTTATTTAGGCTAGGTTACATTCTTTTTGGAACAAAAGAAAAAGCTGTAAGCAAATGGTGCTGTTTCCAGTGCTGTGCTGTAGAGTGTATCAGGACAAAAACAGATGTGATCTCATTAACTTCTTTATTGCTAAAATCAAACCTGAAATAAGGAATTAATTTTTTGTCAAATTCTATCCAGATCCCTGTTCTATGGAGCAGGAATACTTCAAAGAATTTCAGACTAAAAATGGAAATACCCTCTTCCTCTTTTGAAGGTGAAATTAATTTTTAAAGAAAAAAGAAAAGACGACCCCGCAGGTTTAACTTTATACACAGAAGAAGCAAGATTTCCTTATGACCTACCTAGAGGTTTGGCCAATGAAAACTTTCAGAAAAATACCTGATCCTCAGCTGTTGTCAGCTGCTACTTTTCCTGAATCACAGTGAAGTGACTGGCACTGTCTTTTCTGCAACTTTAAATCCACTCCAGCCCAATGTGTGAAATATTCTGCATTCCTTGTATGGAGAAAAAATGCCTTCTCCGTACAACAGCTGTTGGTCCCTACATAAGTAGTTAAATCCAGGCCACCAGTTTCTTCCTGGAAATAACTAAAAACTGCAGGTGCTTAGCATCTTGAAAGATCAAGCTCAAAGCGCATCATGTGAGGCCCCCAGCATTTCCAAGTAACTTGCACATGAATCTCCCTTATTTTCAGCAATAGATTCTATTTAGTACTAGTCACATTGCTAGAAATCAAATAATTAGTAGGTACAAACAAATAATAATTTTTTTGAGAAAATTGTTATTGACAAGAGTACATTTCACAGCGACTGGAAAAAAGCTTCACAATTCAGCAGCTCTCAATTGATGAAAATCACCGCTTCACAATACCAATTTCTGCTGAGTCTTGACACTGATGACACGTGTAGTTGACTGTATCGTGCAACTTTCTTCTTGGTAAAATCCCAAGTGAGCAAGAATGCAGAGGCTGTTTCAGATGTTCTAAAGATGAATGATTTTTTTGTTTTAATATTTGCATGCTCATCCATCAGTCTTGGAAACAGACATTAGTGGCTATTGCATTTATTCTTTTTCTACACTGAAATGGTCATATCTAGACACAGAAAAAATAAAACTGAACTTTCTGATTAATGTTTTCTGATATTTGTGACTATTTCGTGTTTGATTTTGGCTGCCTGGAGACTATCTCAGAGAGTTTACACGTGCAAGGGCTGGTACTGCACAGAAGGCAGCTTGTGTATGAGTGAGGACTAGCTGAAGGTGTCATGTTGTGAGCCAGGAGATTGCCTGGAAACCTGCAATTGTTTCATCTAAAGCACCTTTGAATAACATTTCTGGCTGGTTTTGTGTAGCCTATGCCAACCCACATATAATATTTTGCACCTACTGTTTCTAATATTTGTGCCTACAAATAATCAGTACTTTTAGTAAAGACAAAGTGCCTGGATAATGTGTGAGAATCCTGATCGCTATTCACAAGGTAGCAGCTGCTAATTGAAGAACCAGCCTCTCAACCCCTTAGGAGATTGTGTTGCTGAAGAGGAACCGGTGAATACTCAAATGAATGGCAACACTGGGAAAACCATACTTGCTTAGATAACCTGATTCTTTGGAATATGGAGGGATAACTGCTGCGAACTTAGCATTTTATTTTAAAACTTTTCTTTCATGATCTTCAAGCTATTGCATTCTGTGAGCAGCTAAATACAACCCAGCTAAGCTCCTCTTAATTTCCATTATCCAGCATTTAGGATGAGGAATAACAGAGGTCATGACACTCTGATCATTTTTGCCTCATTAAAATCTTGTGAACCCCAAGGAGCGCAGTTAGGTCATGTTTGTAAAAGGTAGAAGTCTAAAGTGCTGCTTTGAGCCGTGCCTGTTTCAGAGAAGTGCTCTGCACGAATTACCATGTGTCTTTCCCCGTCTGTCTGCTTTCAGGCTGGAGCACTTCAGTTATTTCACCTTTGAACAGGATCCCCAACTTTTTCAACATTTTCAGGCAATTAATCATTGGCAGTCGGTGAAGTCCAAGATCTCTTTACAGCTGATGGCTCTAAACTGTTAGG